TTTATTTATTTATTTATTTATTTCAGAGAGAGGAAAGGAGAGGGAGAGAGAGACAGACAGAAACATCAATGATAAGGGATTGAGCCTGGCAACCCAGGCATGTGCCCTGACTGGGAATCGAACCTCGATCTCATGGATCCTAGGTCGATGCTCAACCACTGAGCCACGCCTGGCTGGGCAAGAATTTCTTAACTTTTGTACTTAGGAAATTTTCTACCTGGAGTGTAAGGCTGCATTGGACAAGTTTCGGCTCAGTCGTAGGCAATGACTCACATGGTGGTCGAAAGCACTTTGCAGAATAGAAAGTGCTTCTGCGCGTGAGCCCAGTAAACCATCCCCACTTAGGAGCCACTCTTGAAGTGTGCTCTCCCACAGCCCCTGGGAGGGCCGCTCTTCCTCCCAGTTCAGAACCTTAATGGAGATGTTGCTGTCTGTTTTCCTACCTGGGGCCCAAGTGGAGTCAGAACCGAAGTTCTCCCTGGTCATGCCAGCCAGTTCCCACACCCATCAGCCCACACGGTGCTAACCAGGGCTCGTCTCAGCCTCTGAAATGGAGGGGCACCAGGCCCTGAGCTCTTGGACCTCAGAGTGCATGTCCTTTCATCCAGCTCTCCCAGTGGCCGCCGCTGCCCACTGGCTACTCCTTCACATTGCAGAGCAGGCAGCAGTTACCAGCTGCGCCCCACCTGCCTTCTTCCCGAATGTTCCACGGCCTCATCTCCCCAGTCTGGCTTCCCGCATTCAGGGACCCCAGCTTGGTTGCCCTTTATCCCCATGGTCACTTCCTTCAGATTCTGCCCCTTTCTCCGTTCTGCCCCTGGTCTCAGTTCTGGGGGAATCTGACTGCATCTGACTCAAAGGAAGTTTGTTGTGAGGATTCAAGGCTCAGTTTAGAGAAAGGTGAACCCCTTCCAATGCCTCAGCATATCCATATACTCTCCCCTCATAAAAGAACCAAAGGTCCAGAAACCTGCTGTGGATTCTCATCTAGTTTCTCAAGTGACTTATTCATTCACTTTTACTCACTTGTTTCCGAATGGATAACCCATTCACGTGGTTCAGAGAAGTACAGAGGCTGCCCCCTCCCAGCAGAATCACTTTCTTGAATAGCCTTTCACATTTTTGTCTTACAAGTTTTAAAGTAGAGTTTGAAATATTTTTGTTACAGAAATAGTGCATATAACACCATTAAGAAAACTAAATAAAAGAACCAAAAAAGTTTTCATAGGCATAAACCAGGTTGATTTTGCTCATCTCTAGTCCCTGGCCCTTGTCCTTATGCAGACGGACTTTTTACGCGGCTGGAATCACAGTCTGGTACCTTTCAAACATCTCCTTCATTTATGGTGTTTGCTTAGAGAGTTTCCAGCCGGGGGGTGGCAGAGAGAAAGCCGGTCTGCAGTGAGATCGCTGGACAGTAGCCCAAACCCTCACCGCCCCTGCCTCTTGCAGAAACACCTGCTGCCGCTCATCGCGGGCGGCCGGGAGGACAGGAAGCAGCTGGCGCGGATGGAGGCGAGCCTCGCCGAGCTGAGCGGCCGCGTGGCGCAGACAGGTGAGGATTGATGGCCCCGCCCCGCGCGCCCCTCCTCGGCCTCCTCCCCTCCGCGCCACTCTATGTGGTGACTTCATTTATCTGCTCTGAGAATCTGTTCACATTTGCAAATGAAGCCGCCGTCATTTCGGTTTAATTTGAAATTGCTTGTTTACTGTCGGCGCGGCCTCAATTAATTATGTTTTTACGGAAAGGCTCCCAACCTCAGAATATTAATAAGGGGAATAAAATGACAGCCTTTCTAAGGGCTGTAAAGTTCATTTTTAATTTCTGCTGCTATGAGGTTTTCAGGGGGGTTTTCAGCGATTTTCCCCCTTCCCTCTAAGAATCCGTCGCAGGGTCAAGAGAGGCTGTAATTACTGCGGCTCCCGGGACCCCGGCCACCTCCTCTGTCATCGACTCCCGGGGCTCGCGTTCATTACCCGGTGCCCCGATGATGGCCCAGATTAGCTGGGACCTGTCGCGCCAGAGGTGGCTTTTCTCCTTGATAAACTTGTTTACTAGATGGAGTCTCTGAATCTAAAAACTCAGGCAAGCGAGAGAGCTGCTGTCCCAGGCAACCTGAGAAATCCCCCAGCGTGGTGGCCCTGAGGCCCCAATGAGGCCACCTTGGGGTTGGATGGGGAGGGCAGGAAGGAGCAACAGGGAACCGAGATTTGCAGTTTTCAACCACTCATGGAGGTTGTGGGATCTGAGGTGCATCTCTCCCGGGACTGGAGACTGCATGAGTTCTACAAGGACACAGGGAGGCCTAGGATGCGGACATGACAGAAGTTGGAGAGCCAGGCAAATGATCAGCAGATCTAATTAGAGGGGAGAGGTTTTGGACAGATATACTGCTGACCACGGACAACGGCACAGTAGGAAGATGAAGCAGAAAGACTGGAGGGTAGGTGCAGTACAGGTAGATTGCCCAGGGTGCAGATAAATCATCTGGGCTATGGGCTTCGGTGTCTGCTGATAGATTGCATGCTGCAGCTTAAGGAGAATCTGTGTGTCATTTAACAGACACCACTGCTCTTCTCTCCCAGTGACTCAGTTACAGGTGACGTTAGCCTCTGTCCAGGAGCTGCTGATCCAGCAGCAGCAGAAAGTCCAGGAGCTCGCCCATGAACTGGCCACAGCCAAGGTACTGGTCCCTGCCCCTCTCCCCTTCCAGGTATGCCCTGCATGGCTCTTTGCTCTTGTCCCTTCACCACGTTCCTTGGAGTCCAACTTGGTGTTTTCTCATGCTGGTTATACAACAGGCCCACGCTGCCCTCGTAGAGAAGAGGCATCAGTGATGGAGGCCATCCTTCCTGTCTCCCTGTCAACCTCCCAGCAGGAGGGAGGAGCAGCAGCTCTCTGCCCATGGCCTCTCATGGTCGCAGGTGCCCCAGCTCTGTAGGCAAAGAATGGTCTCCACCTGCACGTTAGGTTGCAGGTCACAGTTGCCAAGAGCGCCTGGGGGTAGAAAGTGGAGGGAGTGCCAAGGCACTGGGCCAAACTCTGTGGTGACACCCAGGTTCTCGAAGCCCAGGTCTCGGGGTCAGGTAACCCCCAGTGGAGTATAGTGTCAGTTGGAATTGACTGGGGCAGTTTCCATGTCTTACTTCCGAAATCTGAAGCTGTCTTAGTAATATCAGATCCTGGGATCAGACTGCCTGGCTTAAAATCTTCGTCTGCCGCATGCTACCTGTGTGACCACAGGCAAAGCACTTAGCCTGTCTGGGTCTTAGTTTCCTCATCTGTAAAATGGAGTTGTAATGGCAGTCTCCTTCATTGTCCTGACATGCTCTGAATAGGCTCCAGGATTTCAGGCTTCTGGCCTGGGTTCTGTGGGTGTGTGACAAGGTCATTCCTGAGGCATTGTCCTGGACAGACGGGTCCAGGAGATAGTGGTCCAGTGACTGTCCGCCCTGCTCCATGCCTGTCTCCTGTGTTGCTTTCTGGCTGCTTCCACCACCCAGTGCTCTAAGGACCCCATTCTGAGTGGCTCCCAGGGAAGGCCCCACCCCAGTGGATGTGAGCCTCTCTCAGATCTTTTGCATTTGTAAAAACCCAGCGAAATGGGCATCTTTTCATTTCCCATGGAATCAGGGGTGCCTCCTGTGAAGGGGATCCCCAAGAATCCCCACCTCAGATATCCCCACATAGAGGGGCTGCCTGCACTTCCTCCTCAGGTGGTGCCGTTGCTGGGTGGCCACCTCCAGCCACCATGTACGCCCGAGGGGCGGGTGGCCCATAAAGCACCCAGAAGGCCGGTTACCACCCTGCCCTACGATCCTCTATTATCTTTTGGAGTGGTGGCCTGCCAATGGCCAGAAGCCATTCCGGAAATTGGAAAACTGTTTTCAGACCTTAACCATTAAGATTAAGACCACATGTTGCATTTTAAAAGGGGAGGGGGCCCAGGATGGTGCTTGGTGGTTGAGAGGCGCCTGAGCTTCTTATGCTGTTTTTCTGATGGTCCCCCACCCGTGCCCCCTCTCACCCATTCTCTCCTGTACTGAAGCGAGGCTTGTAGGTTTGGTACTAAACCCATATGTGTGAAGACTGGTTACCCCATAAACCAAAGACTCGGAGCTGTGTTTTCTCAGCTGTAATATAAGTTTTTATATCTGGCTTCCAAGCTCCTACTGCAGCACTGTAAAAAATTAAAAAGAAGAGCATTAAGTAATTAAAAAACCTACATAAAACTGAAGGCTGGGAGTTTTCTACAACTGTTTTTTAAAGAGACTGGCTAAAAAGCCCCAGATGTCAGATTTTATTTCTAAATCCTGGCATCTGGCACCACATGCGTTTGGAAATCTGAGTCCTTTGTAGGCCGGTGAGTGGAAATTGCTCCCCTGTTAATGGGCTGCTATAGCTTTCAAGGCTTCAGAGAAGCCAGAACAGTGGCTCCTGGGCCTGTGCTATCTGGTGGTCTGGAGTGGGGCCCCCAGGGAGTGTGTGTGAAGGCGGGGGTGGGGGTGGCGTTTGCACGCTTGCTCTCAGACTCCCCAGCTTTTCCTTCCTGAGCCCTGCGGCCTCTCAGAGGAGCTTCTCCCTGCAAAGCTGTGCTGGGTGCTGCGAGCCCCGCCCCATGTCAGGGACCCAACAGAGGCTGGCAGGAATGTCCTGTTGTCCC